CACGGTTTTCTGGTTACAATGCTTGAGGGAATAACGAAACCCGGACAAAGCATTGCAGAGCAGCGGCGAAGAGTATTGAAACTCTTTTTCAGCAGGCGAGGGGAAATTATATAGTTACAGTGCACAGCTATAAAAAAAATATGAATAAGAAATACATATAGCACAACCCATCTTTGAAAGTTTGTTGGGGGCCACGGACCCTGCTCAACTCAGCACTAGCCTCCGGGGTTATGACTCGGTTGAGTTGAGCAGGGCCCGTGGCCCGCAACAAACTTTCAAAGATGGGTTGTGCTATATCGTGTAAATGGGAAATGAAAAACGGTCTGATCAGCTGCTCGGTGGCGTAGTGGGTAGCACGCTTGCGTTCTGCCCATGAAGTCGAGGGTTCGATCCCCAGTCGAGTCGATGGATTCGCACTGCTGATGAGACCCAACCAGGTCGAAACAGCTGTCCAGTGCTTCTGAGCTTTTCAGTTCACGCTTCATTTGCTATATACACGACGAATTCACATTTGAAATTTAACCAAATCCTCCATTACTCACATGAAAGAAATACATAGTTGAAAATGTCCCTTTAAATTGTCTCAGCTCTCGTGTCTGGAAGGGTAACCGGTGAGGTGTATCCACACAGATTTGCAGATAGAAATGGTGAAGTGCCTCCAGGAATGAGGGATTGAACGAGTATAGATTTATTCCTATTTTTAACTACAGACAAAAATCTGTGAGTGAGCCGGTGCCATAGTTGAGGATAAACCATCTGGGTCGATTGCGAAGGTGGGTTTTGTAGTCCTCGGAAGAGTAAATATATGCTCATGAGAAAGTAGACCCATTGCAGACAGGAAATGGACATAATATGAAATTAGAAAATCACAAGCAGGGGACATATATATGTAGTATTCAGGATGTCCATAGCATCAGGTTTGTCTCGGGATCGTTTGTTATCACACACAAGTGTGTGTTTAACGACAGACGGGATGAATCGCAAGAGCACGAAGACCTGCTGTTCAGTGATGGAACAGAGCAATACACTTTTGCTCAAAGCACCGTACATGAGAAAGTATTGATCATGTTTGACCTCTTTTAGGCATAATCTATTGGGCACGGACGAAATCTGCTCATAATTTCTTTCCAAGATAATAAACCAACTTACCGTGGGGAAAGAAAGCAGGTCCTTTCCAGGGCTCGTTCGACATTTAATCTCCTTTAATACTTGCTCCAACTCAAGAGGATTGATATCACCTGGAACACGTGGTCGGCGTTCGGTTTTGACGTCTAGTGTACCTCGATCTGCTGAATCCGTGTCAGTTTTGAATGTGAATCCGAATCTTGAATCGTTCAAGTTAAGTGACTGATTTCGTAGGCGAATACCTAAGAACCAAACGATAGCAACACCACAGAAAGTGGACAAATAGGCTTACGTAAATTAAAGAGAAAAATCCACAAAGATGTAAGAACTTAATTGAAGAATGAAATAACGATCAGGAAAGAGACATGCTTGGAGGCTGGAAAAGGTTCAAATGAACTTATTTATCGTATGATAATATAAGTTCGATCATTTATTTTCAACGATAGAGGTATCCAGGTGTGGTATGTGCTTTACACCATCAAAGTGCAAAGTGCTGGTTCAAGACTGGCAGGAGCCTGTGCCTGCATTTACTATTTCTGGCGATCAGGTGGAAATAGTAGAGAGCTTTAAGTACTTAGGGAGCTTAATCACAGCGAGAGGCGGAGTTGCGAAAACTAGAGTAGCTTTCACCAACCTGTGACACCTGTGGCGCCACCGTGACATCCGACTGTCCCTTAGGGAAGGGTGTACATTGCCGCGGTCTATAGTGTTCTGCTTTACGGTTGCGAGACCCGGCCTCCCGCGTTGAGGATGCTAATCGACTTTCCGTATTCAACCACCGAGGTTTCCGCAGCATTGCTCGTGTGGGAACATCGGGTGAATAAAGACGAAATTCGCCGTCGTGTGCTGGGTACTGATAGTTGTTCTCTAACGGAAGAAATCGTCCTACACCGCCTCCGATGGCTCGGTCATGTTTTGCGTATGCCTGCCCATCGACTATCTCGCCATGCTTTATTTGCATGTGCCGGGCAAGGCTGGAAAAAGCGCCGCGGCGGTCAGACCATGACATGGCGTAGAGGTATGAAGAAGTTAGCCTTAGCATTGCCTTCTGTTGGTGCAGCTCACCTTCCAGGCTGGGGTCCAATTGCCGATGGCTAGAGACGCTGAGAGATATGGTACAGAATAGATGTCAGCGGCGCAATTGCTGTGCGGTTTGTTTGGCGAAACCCCGTTCCCCATAACACAAAAAATCTTCAGTGTACGGTGAAACTATCAAATAAAAAAATCATCCATTCGTTCTCCGTGTTCTGTTTTCCCCATTTTAATTTAATTTTTCTGTACCCCTCCATAAATTCATCATCATTATCATTTCCATCGACATTATGCTTGTTCTCAAGCCGGTTATAAGTATATATTTTTTCAACATGTAATCAGAGGACTAGTAAACGTGCCACAACATGTGAACAAAAAGAAATGTGTAGAATGTGTTTATAGGTTGTGCGGGTATGTTACTTCCCGGTTGCCCTGACCGAGGAAGAGGAATAACCCCGGATTCCCCACCCGAAGCCTTTGGCTAGAAAGCCAGACCTGCAAGACAACAGGACGGAGCTCAGGGACCGCAGTCCGTTGGGGCCGGTGTTCAGTTAATNTCAGTTAATTGGATCATATGCCCTTTGGTTCGTATGCCTCTTCTTGGTTGGTTTGGAATCAGGGTTCTTAGCCAACTCCCAAGTACTCAGACTAATCAAAGACTAAATAGAGGAGAAATATGACAATCCCGCACCGACGATGATAGGCAGCCTTGCTAGCATCCAACTAATTTGGAAAATACATGGCTCAGTACTTCGAGTTCTAAGGATTATGGTTTCAGTTCCCACACTTGAATAGATCCTCACCGTTTCTGACGCACGCCACTTTGAGTAGAGTGATAAAAAGGAAAAACTATGGTAGCCGTACTGCGCACGTTCGGCATTTTTTAATTTGGATGAATCATCCCTCTCAATGAAATGTATCTGTACTTCAGTCGTTTGTGACCT